AGACGTTCGAGTGAACTGAACTGTAGATTGGGGGTACAGAGGTCCCCTATATATACTACTGTACATCTGTGGCTACGTAGTACTATACAGTACATTCCCAGGATGCACAGTCGCACAGAGAAGCAGTGCGTACACAGCGAAGCTGTGTGTGTACCACATGAGTAGTACAGCCTCGGTTATTGCAGTAACCGACTGTGCCGTTCCATATCTTGTGACGGCTGTATTAGGCAAGCTGTGTAAACCAGCGCCTGTTCAACATGACCATCCAACGCGACCGGGCGGATCTTCGTATGTATGGTCATCTCGTTGCATCCGCAAATCGGAATCACCCGGTGAATAACAACATGCTCCAGATCCAGCCCCTGTTCGCCGCTTCAACTCTCCTAGACAGCTTGGGCGGTGCAATTGGGTAACCTGTGCATAACACATGCTCGCCTCTCCGACAGACGGTCGGGCACCGCTCGCGTTACTCAGAAAAAGAAGGTGGCAAGTCACAGCACAAATTGATTTGCAACGTGCGTGCTCTGCACAGCATATGATGTAAGAACAGGCTCCCCTAACCCTGGCTTAGGATCAGGGCCTCGGACCGGTTGCGATTAAGCGAAAAATGAATCGTCTGCCAGGCACAGCCGCAGTCTCGATCGGCCCTTTGCCTCGCGGATGCAAAATGCAGCAGCTCTCTGTCTCTGTGGCTCTGTGCTTTACACACCTCTCTCGACGACGACGATCATAGATGCCCACAGGTGCGAAGGCTCACCCCCACAAGAATGTACTTGACATACGACTGGCTGAGTCCGTCGTCTTCCTTCGCGCTGGGGACGCCACCGGCCGGCGGAGAGGTGTCTTGGCTGATGCACCTCCTGGGATGGTGCGCGGGCTGCTCGTCTTGAACCTCGCGAAGCCTACGCGCATCACGAGCATAGAAATCGAGCTTGTAGGAAGAACGACTACTGCTTGGCCCGAAGGTAAGCCCTCACTATACCTCCAGTATGGCGGCGCCTGAGCGGCGAGCAGGTGTCGGCGCGAGGCGCATCGAAATCTCGGAGGAACATGACATCTACTCTCAGTCATACGTCTTCTTTCGCGCCGCACATACTCCTGGCCAAAGTTTCCGGCGACATCTCTCCGTGGGACCTGGACTTGCTCTGGAACACGAAGATGAAGACCATTCTGAGCAGTCGAGTATCGCTCAACACGAAAACAGCCCGGAAGAACGTCGTGGACGTTCGCCGGCCCCACGCGACAGCCTGCAAAACCAGAGTTGGGGTCATAGACGTCACATGAGTGTTGATCAGACCCACTATCACAGGTCGTTCGTGAGCCATCACGATGGCGCCGTTCCTTCCATCGCATCCCCTCCCTACTCCCCTCCATATACTCCAGTGGACACGCCCGGTTACCTCAGTCCTACGGCTTCCATCTCACACCGTTCTCCCTTCACCGTTCACGATGAATCTCCAGCCAGGAGTCTGGAGGACTTACGTCGAGCCTTGGAGGCGGAGCAACTGAATGGTAAGTGCGCGCTTAGCATACACGATATCGTTGCTCAACTCCGCGTGTTCAGGTTACGCACGCTCCCCCCGCCGTTCAACATCGAGCATATTGTCTCCGCAGGATTATGCAGACTCTCGCCGTGTCAGCTTCGATGACGACCGCGAGTTCCAAGTAGGGAGCAGCACACATCGTTCCAGCCCATCTCAGTATCGCGCGCGGGATGGACGGACGCCTTCGCGGCAGAGGGACATGGACGGTGAGGACACGGTGCGCGGCAGGAAGAACAAGCGGTTCACGTTCGCCAGTGCGCTGTTCGAGGCGATGAAGGACCGTGTACGTTCGCGGTCCCCGCTTGTTGAGCAAGGCCATGTGCATCAAGCACACTCCGGCTACACGACTCCTCCGCGAGGCCGCACGCTAGATCGGACTCTGTCGCACTTGCCGGAGATAGATTGCCCTGCGCATAAGGAGCCTTCAGCACTCGGCCGCATGGGCGAAGTATTAGGGTTCGAAGTGGAGGACGGTCGTGAGTATGGGGATGGGTGGAAGGAGTTTCGAAAAGGTACGTATTTTTCGCTCAATGTCGATCCACGAAGCGCAATCAAATGCGCGAGATAGGCGTCTACACGTACCCCATATCCTTCGCTATTCCCGCTACCGCTCCTCCGTCGCTCAGCGTCGACTACGGTTCCGTGACTTGGAAGCTGAAGGCAGTGGTCCATCGCCCTGGCGCGTTCAAGACCAAGTTGACGGCCTCGCAGGACATCACGGTCGTTGCTACGCCCGGCGAGGATGACACGGAGGATTCCGAGAGCATCATCGTTGAACGGCAGTGGGATTCGCAGATGCAGTACTTGATCGTCATCTCCGGACGCAGCTTCGCCATCGGGGGCACAATGCCCATCTCCATCACCTTCATGCCTTTCACGAAGATGAAGGTTCATCGCATTTCCGTGATCGTAGAAGGTATGCTTGCAGCGTGGAGGATGTCTTTGAGATCCTAAGAGACAATCCGTATCACAGAACGCGTGGACTACTGGACAGGCTTCAAGCGCATCGCCCGGTCGGACCCTAATAACAGGATCACTCTGCTCGCACTGCGACACCCGAAAAAGGATGGCCCAGCGATCCTCCCGCTCCTGTCGGACGATCCAGATGTCCTGAGGCAGTCCCCCCTTGCCGAGGTTGTCGACTCTGATCTTGATCTCGGCGAAGCACTATCGAGCTACATGGGTCCCGGGCCGTGGACGATCAGGAAGGACCTGCAGTTACCGAAGGAGGGAAACGTGTTGCACATCACGAATAAGAACAAGCAAAGCAACATCTCGGTCGGGCATATGCTGAAGATCATCTTCCGCGTCGAGCGCGGAGACGACCAGGCCTTGGACCCGACGACGGGCAAGCGCAAGTTGTTCGACATCGTTGTGCAGACTCCCGTCCACATCCTATCTGTGAGTTGCTGTTCCCTTCCATGTATGTATCTTACCGATACTAACATACTGCTCAGCACCTGTGTAACCCCGACTACACAGCCCTTCCACCCTACTCCCGACTCCCCGATTCGTCCATCACGTCCGTCATAACGGACAGAGATGCAGGCCTTCAAGTCGCACATGTACCTCTCGTCGTAGCCGACCCAAGCCCGTCTTCCATAGTCAACCGCCGCTCCGCATCCGCCACGCCTCCAATGCATCGTGAAGTCTACCCTGCCCCTACGCCCCGGCCCGCGCACATCTCACGTCCGGGCAGCTTTCAACGGCTTCAAATGGACCACTCCTCCCATTCGCACTCGAGCACGGACATCCCGGCGAGTCCCATCACGACGGTGGGCAGCGCGCCGCTATCGCGTCGGACGTCGTACCATGAGCACAATACCCCGGAGCTCTTCGAGCGGCTCATAGCGGGCCAGGAGAGCGAGGAGGGCGAGGCGCCACCGTCGTACGAGGCCGTCATTGAGTCCTCTGTGAGCGAGAGCGAGAGCGGAAGCAGGACACCCCCTCTGGCGACGGTTTCGGAGCACTGAGTCGACTCCGTTTGTAGTGGTGGGACGAGTATAGCGTGAGTGGCAATGGCTGGATGTTCGAATGGGTTGTTACTTTTGGGCTAGAGTGTCGAACGTGCTCGTAGGTTCACCTTGAAATGCGGCGAAATTTGAAGCGATGTGCAGTTCCATATATTATGTATCCTATCCATGCGGACCTTCCATACCTTAGCGTGTCTTGGAGCAATGACGTCGAGTATCCTATATACATATGCCTATCGTACCGAAGCGGTTCCCCCCGGCTGTTCAAGTTGTCCGCCGGCTTGTATAGCTTATAATGACTATCCTAATGCTTCTCACTTCATGTCGAAGACTCCTTCATGTACTCGAATTGCACATATCCTCACGCACGGCAGGCACACCAGTCTTCCCCGGCCACTACGCATCATGTGTGTGGCTTTGATCCATCCTGCACGGAACGTTGAGGTAGCTGGCTTAAGTGGTCTAGTATTCAAAATGTGGAATGTGTCTACGACAACAAATGCGAATGCTATGCGTGAGTTCAACACGTCGTCCTCAAGCGACAAGCGCGCCTAGTATCTCACCCCATCATATCTTCGCCTTCACCTCCCGCAAGCGCGCGTGCTGCATACTCTCGTCTGCAAAGTCGACAAAGAGTCAGTTCATGTCCCTATACTGAACAAGACGAAGATCAAAGAGAGGAATAAGTACTCACAATTGGAATCGTACAGCCTATCTCCCGGCACGGCGACGATGTGGCTCTGCAACGAGCTCGCGTCCACCATCTCTGGCTTGACCTCCTCCAGCGTCCTCGCCCCCAGCAGACGCATGTTCATCTCGAACTCGTCGTGCAAGATCTGGAGCGCGTGGTCTACGCCCTCGAACCCGTACGACGAGAACGCGTACAAGAACGGCCGCCCGACGCCCACCGCCGTCGCGCCCAACGCGACCGCTTTCAGCACGTCGTTCGCGCGGCGGACGCCCCCGTCGACGAACAGCTGGAACTTCTCGTTCGGGAACGTGAGCCCGCGGCGCGCCTTGAGCTCCCGCGTGACCTCGACGAGGATTTCGATGCCGGAGCGCGAGAAGTCGAGCTGCCGGCCGCCGTGGTTGGAGAGCACGACGCCCGCGAGGCCGAGGTCGTACGCTTGCAGGGCGTCCTCCCAGCACTGGACGCCCTTCAGGATCAGCGGCACTGCGAGGCAAGGCGCAAGTGTAAGTAAGAGGGTGCTGTAAGAAACACATGGGAGGGGGGCGCACTCTTAGTAATGCTCTGGAACCAAGGGATGTCCTTCCAGTCGAGGCCAGGGTCGATGAAGGAGCTGATGGCGCGTGCGGCGCCCTGAGAGCGGTCGACCTTGTCCTGCTGCTTGTTGCCTGTCACCTCTGCGGGATCCTCTGCTTCGAATTTCTGCCGCATGTCCTAAGGAGGCTCGTTCAGCTTCACCCACGCCTGGACGTGTTTCCCGACTGCCATACCTTCTCACGGCGACCGAGCTGGGGAGCGTCGACGGTGATGAACAGTGCCTTGATGCCGCGCTTCTCCGCGTGCTGGACAAACTTCTTGCTGATCTCGCGGTCCTTGTTCACGTACCTTCGGGGGCTGTGAGTCGATGTCCGCGTAGAAGTATATGGAGACGCCCTACAGTTGAAGGAACTGCACCTGGCCAGGCTCCGCGGCATCGACGAGCTCGTCGAACGAACACGAGGAAAGGGTGGGGATCTACAAACACGCGCCAAAACCATTAGCGCACATACCTAGCCGGTATGCTCAAGCTACCGCACCATTTGGATCACACCGTGCTTCGCAGCGGCCCGGGTGAGATTCAGTTCACCATCTGGATGTCCGAGCTTGCCGAGCGCAGTCGCGGTCTAGATGATACAGCGTGAATATGTCAGGAGGGTTTACGGCCTGTATACGGACTCACGATGTAAAGCGGCAGCTTGGAAGGGTGTCCCAGGATCTTTGTCGACCAGTCCACATGTGTGACGTCCCGGAGGATCCGTGGCCTCCACCATATTCTGCCAAAGGACCCAAGTAAGATAACCAGGGGCTCGTTTGTCCGACGGGTAGCACTCGCCTGTGATAAGCTGCGTGGTTCTCGCGGTTCGTGATCTCATCGTCAGCGGCGGAGCTGTAGTACGCCCACGCCTTCTCCGGCATAACGACTCGCGCGATAGCCTTGATATACGCTCCGCGTTGAGCCGTGAGGCAGCGAGCATGCGTATACACACAACATACCTCGAAATCATGCAGGTTCAGAACCTCTGACAGCGGGGGCCGGTTCGCGACGCGCTCTAGACGCTCCTTCTCCGCATCCGTGACCTCGATCTTAACCTTCTGAACTGTCTCTGGGTCGACGCTCCCTAGGCTGCACACGCATGCCGTCAACCCATCTGCAACAATGGGACGTATCAACTGAACGTACTGCTTCTCCGGAGGCAAATGAGTCTTGATGGCATCTGGAGGATGAATGGGCTCGTATTCCGCGCTGCGCGTGCACAATCAGGATTATCGGTACGCAAAGAGCACGGGTGGCTACTCACGTTGCATCTTTTCCGGCATACTTGAGAATGATCTTGCTGCCTCCGGGATGGTCTGAAGCGAAGTGAGCGTCAAGATCACGAGCATGCTTTGTTGACGCACCGTCTAAGAAGTCCGTCACATCATAAACCTTGCCTGAGGGACGTGTCAGCGACATGCCTAGTGATAATAGTGGATTATGAAAGGTCGAAGTGGAACATCGGAGGCAGAAATCAGGGCCATTTGGACACATTAGCTTTGCGCCTCATCGCCGGCGAAGTATCCAGCGAGACAAACGGAAGACTCGCGTACGGCAGGGTCGCGGTCGGCCACTTTCCCCTAGAGACAGTGTGGGAGAATACATGCAAGTGGCCTCCCCCGATGTACAAGAATAAAACGCGAGGGCCAGGTTGCTACCTCAGGTAGAGTACCCCGACGAGCTGTCGACAGAACTTGCTTTAGAGGAGCGACTCGAGAATCAAGGGACGCAAGGGAACTTCCCGTCATCTACCTTCGCGCGAACGTTGGATTTCCATTGTGGTTGCACCGCGGTCAAGCCCTGTATGGCGCCGCGATGTGCACCAGGATGATTGGCAAAGATTCGTTCTCAAGCGTAAAGACTCCTGAGCCGCTGAATTCCTCGCGTGTACTGAAGGTGGGCTCCGCGCTTTCATCTCGAGTTGGGCGAAGAGAGACTTCTCAATGGTGATTTCGATAACTCAAGGGCTCCGAAGATGACTGGATCCCTCCAAGGGAGCGATGCGACAGAGGCGCGCTCAGATGCATTAGTAGGTGGGTTTTCCGGATGAATAGACTCTTTCTGCAGGCGCTTCAGGATCAGTGGGGTAGTTCAAGTTGTAAGGGCTCCAAGTTCAGCTCCAACAGTGTGGGGCATCGGCGCCTCGCTTTGACCGCCTATGGCGACCACGGAAGGAGAGCGCTTGACAAGGTCCACCAGTCACACTGGTTCGGATATCACCAAGATTTGGTCTGATTCTGAACCGCTTGCAGAAGGAGGAGTCTAATCTGCCAAATCCCGGCGCCAGACGCGGCTTGACCACGGTGCCACCTTACTAGAAACCTGACATTCTGGCCAGTCCCCTGTTGTCTCTCTGATTTCGCCATGACCCTCGGTTGATCCCCTAGCCGCCATTAGAGCCAGCTACGACTACGACCATGGTCGTAGTCGTTGCCGGCCAGGCGGGGGAACTGACGTTCCCGCGAAGGCGGGTGTTTCGGCTTCCGTGACCAGCTCGCGGTCACGGATCCCGCAAGCATCTGGGGATGGACACCTATGTTCCCGACTTGCGGACGGTCCGTAGGCGCACCGGAGTGACACTCCCGCCATATCTCCGTCACCTGAATGTAGCTTGGGAGACCGGATATCCGCGTTCAACAAATCTGCGATGTAGCATAGCAACCCTGCCAGCCCACGAGGGTCTCTCGGATTCACAGCATCCCACCGTGCACGCGGTACAGAATTAACTTCAAATGCGTCGCGAACTACTCACCATGCACGATAATCCAACAGCTCTCCCGCGTGTTATGCGCCGCAACTTCTTTCCCGGAGATCACCTTGTTCGACATGTGCGCAGACTTGTCTTTGGACCGTCCACCAAGAAGAGAGTAACCACAACAGCTGTCTGCGGAGGAGAACCAAGAGGTGATGGTGGTAGCTAGTTAAGAAGATGGAAGCCACGTAAAACATACCGAGCGTAAGTGTTCACGAGCCTGGGGACGCGGCGAGGGGCATGTTGGGCGCTCGTGTGGGGCCGGTCCGCCCCTCCGTCGGCCTTCCCTCGGAAGCGGGCGTCCGCAAACGCTCCAATCTCTTTCTCTCCATTTCCACTCTCCCGCTCTTCCTTCATCGACGTCAACTAAGGCTCCAACCATTTCATTTATTTACTGTGTATAAACGGTTGTTTTCGTTTACCTTTCAATTTATTTACCCATTTTCCCGTAAACGGTCATAAACCAGTTGTACACAGTAAATAAATGGTTGCTGGTACCACCATACCAGCAAGGCCAAAGACCAGGAGACAAGGTATCAGAGGGCCATGTAGAGGGCAGGTCAAGGTCGTTGACCGTTGGTCGACTCCTGCCTTGCTTCTGCCTGATCAATTGGCATCGACGGGGCCCGGCAGCTGACTTTCCTGTTCGGGAGCTTACCTCACCTTTCGGCGCTTATCTCACTGAGACGAAGCTTGGGAGTGAGCTTGATACTCATTGGCCTCCCAGCGACGATCATTGGTAGCAAGAAGTG